AAATTAACTCAACATTCTTGTCTAGCTATGCATTTAGTTATGCACAAGGAATTTGAAGAAAAAAGGTCAGAATAAGACAGTTTGATCAAGTGATCTCTTTAAAGGAAAACATGCTTTCTGTATCTCCTATAATCACTCAAATGCCAGGCCCTCAAACAGGATTTCACATATACCATATGCCTTGAATTGAGTCAGTCACAGGTCATGTCTCCTGTGTTAATCTCTTCACAATAAGCAGATAATTAAAAAAAATAATATCTATAAATCAAACTAAAATGATGGAATGTTTGTTTAGAAGTTTACCAAATGGAATGACCCTTCTGGAATTCTTTCATGTAGCCTGTGAAAATGTCAGACTATATTCCATTTAAGAGGTCACAGTCCCTAGAGATCTCTGGGTTTTGGCTTGTATGTCTTTTCACATGCTTTAATATTTGAAAATTGTTCCTTGTAGACACTGACTGATGGCCTGGGAATGCTAGGATTGTGGGAACTGGCAGTACCAATGACAAAGACAGACTTACTGGGAAATCAGTACCTACTCAGTTTGCGCTCTCCTCTCAGAACAGATAGGATGACATTCAAATATTTACAGGGAGACCAAGGGACTTCTGTTTTCTACTGACATGTTAAAAAACCAAACAGCACCCCAAAAAAACAGAGCACTAACAAAAAACTCAAAGCATAAAGACAAACATATATTAATTATATATGCAGTGTGTGCCTAGCAAAGATTATTTAATAGAATATTTGCATTGGATGTTCCGTGGGCTATTAAAACCTTAATGGAAAGACAAACCCCAGAATCACTGAAGCTGGCAGCAGCCTCTTGAGATCCCCTGGCCCAAGTGCTGCTGGAGCAGGGTCAGCTGGAACAGGCTCACCCAGGACAGTGCCCAGTCTGATTTTTAGTATTTCCATGGGTGAAGATTCCACAGGCTCTCTGGACCTCCACTGTACACACACATTATTTATGACTATAAATGCAGACACACATTTCTACTGTAAGCTTACAGAAATTGTGCACCTCTTTATCTAGACAGTCCTTTAAGGATACATTTCCTTAGAGGTCTGGTTTGTGGGGGATTTCTGTGTTTGGTTTGGTGATGTTGTTGTTGGTGGTGGTGCTGTTAATCAGAATATCTGCATGCTGTTTTCCAGATTTCACTGCTTTCAGCTTAGTGATTATGAAACTGCTGAATTTAAGATGATTTTTCAATTATATTCCCTGCTAAGCTATTACTTTAATCAAAACTACGTTTTCAATTTTTTTTCTCTAGTCTTTTCACTAACCATCTTTTCTACACCATGTCTCTCCCAGTTCTCTCATGAAAATAAACACTAAGCACAGTGACCTTCCTATATATCATTACAAGAGGCAAAAGCAGACCTAATCACTGATCTTAGAGGAGTGGAGAAAAACCTGTCATACACAGATGCAAGAAGAATGTCCCAAATCTCACCTGATTCCCTAATATCAAATTTGCAGTTCAAATCCATTAATTGCACCGAGGATTGAGAATTTGTTCAGAAGCCATAAAACTATGCCAAGAATGCATGTTACCAGTGCTACATACTGAGGGAGTGGAAGATAAGACATAACAAGCAAACTAATATACCACAACTCTTAGATGCCAGAAAAAAATCCCTTGGATCATCACATTTATTTAAATAATGCCATTAGGTTAAGTGAGATGAGGATTTCATTCAGTTATTTTAAGAACTGTGTCTCCCAGCTGACTTGACTGGTCCCTTAGGATGACTCAATATACACCATTTGGAGTATCTGGTTTTGTTTGTGTTGGGTTTTGTGTGTGTGTGTGTGTGTGTGTGTGTGTGTGTGTGTGTGTGTGTGTGTGTGTTGTGTGTCTTCCATCTTCCCCTGAATTCCACACAATATCCCACAAGCACTTCAGGCCCACAGGAAGCTGCAATTCTCACCTGACCTTCAGTGCCTCAGAGTCAATCCTCCTGAGTGTCCCTGTTCTTACACAGCCAAGGACACTGCTTTCTTTGGGCTGCTTTCTTGCTTTCTCCTAATTGAGATTTTACCAGTCTTGCTTGTACTTTAAGATGTTCACTGTTCCAAGGCTTTTTTCCTACAAAATATCCAAGACTCTTGGTTCTTCTCTCAATTACCCCAATTCTGCTGGAGAACAGTTTCTGCCAGCCATGGGAGGCACAGCACCACCTTCTCTATCCTCCTCCAGTTCATAATGCACAACGCCAAAGAGAAGCAGAAGCAATCCCACTCCTATGCTGGCTGTGAGTTTGGAGGAGCAGACACCTCACAGCCCCCACTGCCTGGAACAGAACTGCTTCTCCACACCACATAAAGGGCAGGAATGGGCACACTCCCCTTCTGACGTGATTTATGGTCAAAATGCAGAGCTGAATGGCCCCGACAGCTGCCAGCCACTTATCCACTCATTTTACAAGAATATAACCAGGCTCCCACCTGTGGATGACAACCGCAGAAGGGCAACTTATATGTCTCTTTTTCAGAAACTAGTAGCCACTGTCACAAGAAGAGTTTGGCACAGTGAGAGTCAGGGAAGGCACTGCAGACCAAGAGAGGCTGCTGTAAAACACAAGCTAGGAGTTTTCTATTTTACATGTACCTTGAAATAATGATTGCTGTGAGGTTGGCTCCTCACACCCAAACCCTTCACAGCTCCCTCTTCCAGCCGAAGTGGCATGCTCACCAGTTCTGGAAGAGTTTTAATTCAGCATGCAAAAAGCTCTGGTCATAAACTACTTCCTTTTTTTGATGGTATCTGCATGTGCAATCCCTTCCCATCATTTGGCTCTGAAACAGCAGGTTGGAAAGCTGCAGACAGCATCATTCCCATCCACCCTCCTGCTGTCAGCAGCAGACAGCCTATCCTTCCCTCCCTTGCCACCTCCTGGCTCTCAGACACAGCGCATGAAGCTGTGGTACAGTGTGTGGGCAGCACATTGTTCTCACTGGTACTTGGGCCGTGCCATGCTGCTGCTACTCTTGTCAGCCTCCCTGCACCACAGCCCAACTCAACACCCAGGCATCAGTCTTCTCCCTCCTGCTTCCAAAGAGCCTCATCCACGTCACTTTTCCCCCAAGCTGTCCTTCCTAAGGACACAGCATCTTGCCTAAAAAGCACATACTGGACCCAACCCGGCATCCTTCAGGCAGGGATGCAAATGCAGAGCCTGTTTCTTAAACTCCATGTACGTGAGCAGGCCCCACTGCTCATGAGAGGACTGTACACCCATGGCTGTCATGAGACTGCCAGAGTCACAGACACATCTCTGTCATCACTCAAGAGGTGACAAGTGTGAAGAGCAGAACCAATGAAATAAGAACTTTTGTTGCTTTTTAGCAAGTGGAGCAAGAGTTGGCCTCCGGAGAACAGGCACGATAAACCACTGCAATACACAGGGCACACGTTTACATGATCAATGCACTGTATGTACTGCCCCATTGTCCAGAAAGATGAAGACTAATGAGAACCTGAAATTAGTTTCATTAGCAACACAGCCATGAACTTGAAAACAGTTCAAATGAAACAGGAGGATCTTAAAATTATGACAGTCCAGGAGACTCACATACAACATCCAGCTCCCAAAATTATCCATTCGTCTTTGTTCAGGGAGTAAATACCCGCATGTAATAAGTGACTAGAAAAGCTTAAGCTCCTAATGCACTCCAACTGTTTTGTTATTGATCCTCTGCTGGAAGTTAAAACCTCTTTGACAGAGTTGGCACAGCATATAACGTTCCTTTGTAAACTCAAGGGACAATAATTCCACTGGAACTTAAGCTAACCATGCGAATTTGCAGCAAACCCACCAAGCTCTGCCCACCCTTACTCCTCCAAACTCTTACTCCTTCTTTGCTCTGTGACTGGCATCTGTGGGGCAGAGGGCAGGGGAGAGGAGGAAAATGTGAAAAAGGAGAAGGTAGTAACAGCTCCAGTGACTGCTGGGTCACCCAGGCATGCTGTGATTACCTCAATGGTAAACAAAACCAAACCAGAGCAGAAGCCTCCTACCCTTGCAGTGACATTGGAAAAGCTGGAAACACAGTTTCTGTACTAACTTGTGCAAGTCAGCTTAACAACACTGCAGAACAACACTAGAACAGTTCAGCCTCCTACTGGACTACTGCCAAAAGACTCATTCAAGTAAACAAAAGGTTTAAAGGATCACTACCAGAGCTCACAGTAAGCATAATGCTTCCTGCATAAAAATATCTTACCAAAAAAATACCCTTAAAAATTTCAGAATATTTTTAAGCGCCACTGTATTTCTGTGAACAGCAATCTCTTACACTTATAGACTTTATAAAGAAGTGACATGCTAAAATACTCCTGCAAATATCCAATTTTTAGTAAAAAGTACAATTATTAAATTATTAAAGCTACTTTAAATGCAAATTCATTAAGTTCAAAGTTCACTTTTACAAATTTGCTTCTGACTTTCACCATTTCTACAAAAAATTGTTTCTAACCAAATTAACCAAAATTACTAAATCTGAACTTATAGATGAGCAATAGTTTGGCTGCTCTAGAGGTTTGACAGGACACAGCTACCTACCTCATCCATTTTAGTTTTACAGGAAACTAAGAAAAAACAAATTTTCCAGAAGTATTCTAATGTTGAATTAAAATTTGTACAATAGAATGCAAAACATTAATTATGTATTATTTATGCAGGAAAAAAATCTCATTACTGAAAATTATCCCTTTTGTCTAATAACAATACAACTCTCAAAAGTATTTCATCAATACTTGTAGTATACACCAGCTATAGCTTTTAAAACTAAAACTGAAAAATCTCAACTCCACTCTATGGTCCAGAGCGCCTGCTGCTGCTCCAAGAGCTGCCCTGCGGTGAAGCTCCCGGGGACCGACTTCCCGACACCCGCAGCACCTGAGCGGAGCGCGGCAGGAGCGGCCACCGCGCCGGGCCAGCCCCACTCCCTCCCTCCCTCCCTCCCTCCCGTCCCTCCGGTCACTCACCAGTCTTGCGCTCAGGTGAGGGCGGCAGGGCAGGGGTGGCGTGCAGCGACAGCCCCCGCAGCTCGTGTGCCACGGCCTCGCTGTGCGGGCTGGGCGCCAGCCGCGCCGGGGGCCCGGGCTCGTCCTCGCCGTCCGCCGGCCCCGCGGGCTCCATCCTGGGCAGCCTCGGCGCTCTGCGGAAACAACGCGCGGGTCACTCTCTGCTCCGCCAACACCGACAGCGCTTCGCACACTGCCCTGCCTGCACACCTGGGCTTCGCACTTCAGGAAAATGGACATTACCTACTGATTTCCCACAAATTATTAGGGGGTTGGCAAAAATATAGTCAGAGGCAATTTAACAGAAAGCAGGAGTTTCTCTGCTCACGCTGACAGAAATCACCCAGTGTCAACCCTCACGATGGATGTCCAGAAGCTCCTGTGCCCCACCCTGTGTCCCCACCCGCATATCAGCACATCCCTTTTCCCCAACAGCTTCTATTAGAGAATGCTGAATTAATATATTGTGCTTTATGTTAATGTGCATTGTATCATTTATGTTATGTGTACTGTAACATACAAATGGCTTTTAATATTTTGAAGCTCCGCACAACTCTCAGATCCCAAATCAATGTCAGTACTTAGACAGGACTTCACAGCACCGAAGGACTATATCAGAACTAGTCAATCCTCAGTCTCTCCAGCAAGGCTTTTAGCCATGAATATTTTAAAATTAATTTTGCTGCACACTAGCTACTTGTTGAATAGTTGAAGAAAAGTCCCAATTTACTATATCCTTCCTTTCCATCATTAGTGTAGTACTTAATCTACAGTAAGGAGAGACAGAAGTATGAATTACTGGTACAGGCTTTTTATACCTCACAGAACTATCAAGTCATTAAAATTTCAATAAATCAATATGGACATCAATGAAGTCCTATCCCTGGATTCTTGGAAACTTGAATGATATGAAATATGAACAACTCAGAAAGATCCAACTCAGAAAAATGAAGAAATGTCTTATTATTGTGAGATTCTTTGTTAATTTTTAATTATTTTTCTTAAGAAACACAACTGCTTGCCATACTCAGCCTTAAACTTCAAATGTTCTGAACATAAACACCACATGTTGGGGTGTGTATTCAGAATTTTGAAAATGCAATATATGTTTCAATGATCAATACCAAAATATTTCAAGTGTTAACATGATATTTAAAAACCAAGATGACAAAAAATTCTCATGACCACCAAAGAATGGCCTACACTACAAAAGGGCAGAGAATCATGTTCTGAAAGTGTGAGTTGAAAAATAAGAAATATAAGCAAGTACTGCTTGATATACAACCTAAATAGAACAATTATCATGGTTACATGCATATTTTTCATTATTTTCCCTAGTTACCAACTGGAGTTTTCACATTAAATGAAGACACATTAACTTACTGTTATGCAAGATTTTTTTTCTTTGTTCTTAGCTTCTAGAAGCATAATTTACTCAGCTCTCACTCGATTTCCTGACATTACACTCTCCTCAAACTCCCACTCACTCATACAAATTAAGTACATTATTAACCAAGCAGGTTTCTCCAGAGCAGAATTTAACTGAAAATGTAGCTGCTTATCTGTTCATATTCACAGCATTTTATCCAGAATTTACTAGTTATGAGTTGCCTTGGAGTCACTTTTCAACGAGATTAAGCCACGTGAGCTGTATTCATGCTTTCAAATCAGATGAAATTAATAGAAACATCTTCTTGTACTAAAGCATTTGTTATGCTGCAGGTTAGCTTTGACTAATTTTTTTCCCCATGACAGATAAGTAAACATCATGCTTTGAATAAAACCAGCTTGACTTTCACCACTTCTACAACGCACTGTGGAACTGGTAACGTGTCTTCATTTTGTTTCAGGAATGTACAGAAATGTGGATTTATTGTCCAGATCCAACTGAGAACATAGCATGCAATTAAATGATGTTGATTGCAGCACAGCAGCACAACTCAAAACAGGTTTGACTTCCCACACAAAATGTGCTTGATCCGTGGTTTGAACATTAATAGATCAGGTTGGAAGGGATCTTCTGGAGGTCATCTAGTCCATCCCCCCATCTCATGGGATTACCAGCTCTCAGGAACTTGCCTTGTCAGCTTCTGAAAGTCTCCACAGCAGGTGATTTCACCATCTCTGGGCAACCTCAGTATGAACGCTCTGCCCACCTGCTTCACACAGAATTTCTTTTCCTGCTGGTCATGAATCTCAGGACCCTATTTTCATTGTGGTTTCATACAGTACACGAATGTCATCATTAGGAAACGTCTAAATCCAAAGTGCTCCAGTGCAGAACGCTAACCCTAATTTTAAACTTTCCAATTCACAGTGAAGTCCCAGATACTGCACTTCCCTTTTCCTTAATCTTTTAGATAGGCTGCTAAAACCCAGGTATGTTCTCAAATGATCCTCTAACACTAGAACAACCCTACTGCTATGTTGCTACATAATCTTTGAACAAAAGACACTCTAGTATTCCCAGAAAGTCTAAATTCCTCAAATTCTTTACTTGTATCTCAAATCACATTTTGCTCCCATTTCTTTTCATTATTACTTATGAACTGCTGCCGTATCAGACTACAGAAATATTTCTGAGCTAAGAACAACAAATACTCTTAACCTTCCCCAAAAAGGAAAACACACATCCCCACCCAACATTTCCAGGGTTTTTTGGTAGGGAGAAAAAAAATTAGTGACCTACATCATGAACATCTGGCATAGATACACTAGAATTCTTACAGCTCCTTACTAATCAATAAACAGAACTTCTAAAAAATACTATAAAGATGACAAATTGAAGACTTGCAATAATAAAATATAAACAATTAATTTGATTATTATATCTTGTTTTATTAGAATCTAATAAAGAATTCATTCAGCTGTTCAACTCTCTGAAGACTACTCCTGAACTTGGCATCCATGAAATTTCTAGTTTTTCTTTGGCATAGAGTTTTCCTTATTGATTGAAATAACTAATTTAGGAACTTAAAAATAACTTTTATAAATACCTTTCTAAACAAACAAAAAAGAAATAAATGAGGACAAAATGCATCTGTAAACATCTCTGTAAATGTATTTTTACACTGCTTCATGTATGATAATAAACCATTACCATTTTCTAGCACACTCATTTTAACTGCTCCACACGAATACAACTGCTTTAGCATCTGGTACAGGCTACAACCAGTAGCATTTACTTCACATAAAACTCAACTAAAGATATGCAGAATGTCTCCCATCTATTTTCAGTCTTCAAAAGCAATGTCATTCTGATGTATCTAATATAACCAACTGTTTGTACATTAACAATTCAAACATGAAAATGAGTAGTAGAAAACATTTGATCACCTTGTTTAAAATCAAACCCTGTGCAATGAAGACTTTATCCATCAACCATGTGCAAAACAGAAACCTCTGATTTAGAATGTAAAGCCCATGACACTCATTTTATATTAAAGATAACAATTTACCTCCCCTTTCTCATTTGTTTGAAGCCTCCTCAATCCTGAAGAATTACTTCAGATCTGCCATCTGCATTTACAGATGGTAACTATTATCTGTGTAACCCCTGAACTGAAGCAGACCTATACACAAAGTATATTAATAACATAAATGAAACTCAAAAGTAAAAACATGTAAAGGAAAATACAATTTTAAAAAATCCATTCTACTCAAGTTTCAGAATTCTACTTAATATAATCCAAGAAAGCACCTTTATACCAGGCTGATCTGACAAAAATCAGTTGTCACGCAAGGGGTTTCCCCTCTTTTCCTTGCAACTAAGACACCTGAAGTTGTGTGAGCCATCACTCTGTTAGGTATGAAAACCATTTCTGCTTATGAACTGTTAGAAAGCATAATACCAATTTATTTTCAGAAACTAAAAATCACATTACTCAATTCTTCCAATAGTCTTAAATGATTACAGCTAGGTGGTTGTTTGTTGGGTTTTTGTTTTTGTTTTTTTTAACATAGAATTCAGCAAAATGTTTAAGAGTAGAAAAGTGAAAACTAGAAAAAAATTATTTTCCTACTTAGCCTTTAGAATACATTATCAAAATAGAATCTCCATCAGCACTGCTAGGAGGCTTTGGTTCACATTTCCCTGACAAGTACATAAGAACAGTGTTCCAGCACTGGGAAACCAGAACTCCTGTACAATGTATGAGCCTTATGTAAGTGTTCTCACAGATTGTAGGTGGTTGCTATCTTCTTAACTGCTGAAGACAAATGCTCCTTTTATTTTTAAACATTTTATCTTCAAAAGACAAAATTTATTTCCTTGGAAAAATCTTATAATCTTATACTTCCCTGCTACTTGAGACACCAGAACTGGTATTTTATTTGGCACAAGCTCTGAAATTTGGATGACACTTCGGTAGTAAATCAGCTTTTATTTTAGCAATCTGCTGGAAAATAACAGTTCAAGAATGACAGTGCATTCAAATTTTGGCCAACTCAACTGGCTGACATTAACACTGCTCACTCACTCACACCTGCAAGGAACCTGGGTCACTGTACCCAGTGCAGTATTGAATTAACAATCAGATACTAGCAATTTCAGCTCCAGGATTTACAGAATCATGGTGTGAATATGAGCACTCAGTTTCTCCATTTATAAAACTCAGTAAAATTTACAGCTCTAGAAGTTTGTATTACACCAGAATCTCGAATGAATACTCAAGATGGAAAATGGAAAATACTCTAAATGTAAAATGTTCATTTGTTTTTTCTTACTTTTTTTTCAATGTATCAGAAAACACTAAAAAAGATCCTTTAAAAGTGTGAGATCCAGCAGATCTAACAGCTGCCAAGGCAGGCCATTGCATGTTTAGTCTTCCTGTCAGTGCCTGGAAAGGCTTGGAGACATGTGCAGTGGGAACAGTGATTTCTGACACTGAGGCCAATAAGGACTTTGGGGGCTGTTATAGTTTTAAATATTCCTTCTATTTGAGCAGTGGGCACTAATGACCTGAGAGTATGTGAGAAGTCACAATCGGAGACTGACCTGGCCATTCCCCTTCCCTTCTCATGAAGGGTAAGCACTGTGCTTTCAGAACGCAGCAGACCCTACCTATGCCTACACAAGCCTACAGCAAACTTCCTTCCTAGGCTACAAATTAGTCCAGTCCATGGTCAGACCCTT